TAAAAGAATAATCGCTTTACCGTAGATTCAATAATTTTCCAAAGCGAGATCCTGATTTAAAGTTTTAGGATGAAAATAATGCATTCTTACTAGCAAGCATCTCTGGACCAGTAATACAAACCTTTACTAAATCAAAAACCTTCACAGTAGAAGAAGATCAGAACCAAACACTCTAAACTTTCCAAAAACGTTCTAAACAAGATCACTGATAATTAATGTTAATCAGTTTATATTCATCAGGAGACAGAACGTCTCCATTTATCAGTTTCTACCCTCATTGTACTCTTGAACATGTCAATCCTTGATTCGCGTAGTTTAACAGTTCTCTCAGCTTCATAAGATCAACTATACACAAAACAACAAAAACGAACCAATTCAATTAGCAGACCATAGGAATTCCACAGGAACTGGTACAATACTAACTTGTTTACAGAAAAACTATGAACGTTCAGGTATCATGTAACGCCCAACATTGAAAAAGCAAATTTCGCCATTACTAATAGCAAGATGAAGTACATTTTTCAACTCCCGTCAAATTTTTGGAATGATATTTCACAAAAATTAAAGACTTCACTACGATGAAGACAAAACACTAGTCTTGAGTATATTTCCACAGTAAATGTGTTTCCATTTACAGACAAAATGCCAACTTTTTATAATAAGGTTACCTTATAAGGCTAGATACATCATCCTAAAAGAAGTAGAAAAGTGTGAGTAAATTTGATCATTACGAGCAGTGAAGAGAATACACCCGTATCTCCGATGAGAAGTTGCCTATTTCCCCTACATAGATATATAATTCATTTATCCGACATACCCAGATCTGGTCGGATTTTCGGATTCCAAGCTCTAGTTACATCAATCTGAAACGATAATATTTTTTGGTGGATCATATGCTTTTCATGATCACATGGGCTTTATGGTAAACGGTCTCTAAAAATTTAGACTTGTGATTTTCAATATGTAACAAAACTTAGGATTTGATTGGTAAAAATGATAGCAAAGCAGTAGTACTAGTATGTTATAAAAGCAGTATACTACCTAATCAATATACTCTCATAAATGTATTTAATAAAGTGATTGGTAGAACATAAAATGATTAATATATTATATATCATATAAAATTAGTATATGATAGAGATATCTTTATTTCTAAATAATATAGTTTATTTCTTTTTATAATATATATATATTTTTATATTTTTATTCAAAATAAACTATATTTAATTATATTTTAATATGTGAAATATTCTTTTAAAAAAAAATTTGTTTGTTTTTTCATTTTTAAAAACATAAATTAAATTTTGAATATACAATAGTTTATAGATATTATTAAATATTTATATTAAATTATTTTAAAACATAAATAATGTAGCAAAAACTTTTTTTTTTTTTTTTTTTGTAAAAAGACATTCTATCTATCAAAAATTTAATAAGATAGCATCGGACAAATAGCACTTGGAAAGCATTTGGATATTTAAACCTATAAGATTAATTCTTGAATTCACTTCATAGGGTGAATCTCTAAGTTTACCAACCAATAAGACACGTTATTTCATATTAGGTATCTTTTAAAAAAAAGAAACAAAATATTTTCGAGTTATATTATGTTTTTAAATTTAAAGATAAAAATAAATAAAAATAATAGCATTTTTAAAAAAAAGTTTAAAATTTATTTCAGTATTGTTATCAAAATACTAAACCCTAAATTTTAAACCTTAAAATCCTTCTGTAAATTCTTGGATAAATTCTTAAAAAATTTTAAATTATTTTTAATACCGTTAGCAAAACAATAAACACTAAACTCTAAATTCTAAACCCTTAGGTAAACTCTAAACTCTTGGATTAATCATAAATCATGGGGATTAAGATTAATCCAAGGGTTTAGGATTTACCCAAGTATTTAGGATTTAGGATTTAAGGTTTAGGGCAATGTTTTTAAACCCGACCCAGACACTGAACGAGACGAATTACCGGGTCATTGGGTCACTGGATCGACCGTGGGTGAACCGCATGTGAATAAATTAAACGTTATTATATAATAATATATTAGCTATGAAATTAAAAATATAGAAACTAAAGTTAAATACTTTTTAAATGTTTTAAAAAATAAAATGTATAAATATATAAAATATCAAAAACTAGTTTAGACTATTTAAATTTTTTTAATAACAAGTTAAGAGTAATGAAAATCTAAAAAATCAAGTTATAAAATTCATAAATATTTAAATGTCTAATGAGAATAATAAATTAAACTTCAAATCCAAAAAAAAAAACAAAAGTAAAATATTATTGTAATAAATTATCAATAACAAACAAAAATTAACAACAAATCACATCAACTAATTTTGATTCTCACAACCACCCTTCAGTTCATTTTCTTCGGTGTAGTAGTGTTATGTATGATAAAAAGTAGGAAATTTTAATTTAAATTTAAAGAAGAATACGGCAATGCCGATAACTAAAACGTGAAAACCTAACTTTTAAATTATAAATTTAGAATATAAAACATAATAAAAACACAATTTAGAACTAAAAAAATAAAATTTTATTTATTGGTTCAACCAGTGGTTCAACCGACATCAGGTTTTGGATTTTAGTGGGTTTTTTCTGGATTTTTGCGGGTTTTTTAATTTTGGATTTTTAACAAAATCCAAACTGTATTTATTTTGGGTCACCAGATTTACCAGTTCAACCGCGGATCTGGGTCGGATTTCAAAACACTGATTTATGGTTTAGTGTTTTGTTGACGATATTAAAAATAATTTAAAAAAAAAAAATTTGTTTACAACTATTATTATTTTTTATTTATTTTTATCTTTTAATTTTTAAAACATAATATAATTTGAGAATACTTTATTTCCTTTTTTAAAGATACTAAATATCCCAAGAATTTCTCAACCTATAATGCACCAACGGCTCTTGATAGTTATAGCCCGCGAGTCATCATTTTAATCTCTTTCCCTTTTCTATACGACGACGGACACTCACAGCCCTCGTTTATAACCAATTATCGTTCTGCAGCTATTGTTAAAGTCCAATTCATCTCTAAACTTACCATCTTCTAGACCACCGTCGTTATCTTCCGCACCATTGGATCCGAAATACATCCACTATGTTAGAGTCCACCGCCAATAGGTCTTCACCACCGGATAAGTAGAACAATCCCTATTGAATCTGCCGTCAATCTTGTATTTACTTGTCATAAATTGAGCTGGATTCGTGCATCAATCTATCACGTTTCCAAGCTCCGAGCACCACAGCTAAATATCTCACAGTCGGTCGCTTCCCAACTAACATTTTTTTTTATTCAGACAACCGGTGAAAAGTGATTAAATTTCAAAGAAAGAGGTGTAGATTGTGACTATACTTATTATACACATAATACCACAGCTACGTCACCAAATTGGTTGCTCATCTATTTATTAATGTTTAGCGATATACGATCCAACACTAGTAAAAATCTTGCGCATAGCCAAGGTAATACCACACCAAAACCGTGGCTAAATTTAAAAAACCTACAATTTCGTCACGGAATAGCCACGAATTTTAATTAGCCACGGTAAAATTAAATAGTCACGACAACAACCATGAATCTTCCGCGGCTACGTACAAAACCACGGTTTTACCACTAAATATTTTCGTGGCTAGAAATATATTTAGTCACTGTTTTACCGTGGTTTCTTGTAAAAATTTCAATCCCGCTTTCTTTTTTCTCATTTTCCCGGTTAAAACATTTTTCGAAGCAAACAATTTATTTTCTTTAAATTCATAGCCACTGTTTAGCCACGAAAACATTTGTGGCTAGTGTCTTAGCCACGGTTTTAGCCATGGTGTTTTCGTGGCTAAGTGAATCCCTAAACCCTAAACACATTTTAAACCCTAAACATATTTTTAAATCTTAAACATAAACTTTAAAATTCCAATATTTTCATACTATAAATTCAATCTTAAATTTAAACTCAAAATTTAATCATTTTTAAAATATACTCTCAAATCTTTAAACTTCATTCTACATCTTAATATAAACCCTTAAATATATTCCTTAAACCATATATCATAAGTACAAACTCCAATTATAATATTTTTAAAATTTAAACTCAAATATAAAACTTTATTTTTTAAATCTGAAACTCAAATATTCAACGTTATTTTTTAAATCTTAATTTATAAATAAAATCTTATTTCTTATATTTCAAATCTTAAATATAACCCTCACTTTTCAATCAAATTTAAAAATCTAATCTCAAATTTTAAACTTCAAACACTATACTCAAAACCCTAAACTTTATACATAAACCATATATCCCAAATCAAAAATCTAAATACTAACTCTTATAATATTTTCAAAGTTAAACAACCAATCTTAAATATACACTTTACAAATATAATACTTCAAACCTTGTAAATACACAAAACACTAAACTTTAAAACTAATATATATTATATGTTTCTACATATACTTGAACTACTACAAACAATGAATCTTTATAAGAAGTTCGTAGCCACGGTAAATTTTTGACATTGAAACGTGGCAAATGTTAATATAGCCACGATTTTTAGGCTATATAGCCACAATTTTACAGTGGTTATGCGGGACATTTTTACTAGTGCAATTTCCCTTCTTTAATTAAGGGGGGAATTAGGTAAAGCGATACGTATGTGGTGAATCAAGTTTCTGATCTCTGGAGCTTCATTATAAACGGTCTATTTAAGCTCTGGGCGTTTGGTTTCAGTAAATAACAAGCCTCTTCCATTCACAGGCTGAGTCAAATTACACTATATCGAAGTTATCACATTTTATTCAGTCCGCAACGACTCAAATAGTTCATCGAAATTCGAAAGTTAATTCTTAAAGAGAAAAAAAAACACTGAAAACATAAACCAGTAAAAGGAGAACGTGATACAACTAAGACAGATTAATTTGGTCAATCACGAATACTTCCGTAATTTCTTATTCAGACATAAATTATAAAAGTTTATGTAAAAGCTGATGAAGATCAAGCAATATAGTAGAGTGGATTTGGAACTTTGAAAGAACGAGTGGCCACAGCAAAGCCTAGCAGGTCACTCCATTGATCGCCAGTATTTCCATGAAGTTTGTATCCCTTTTTAACCATTTTTGAACGCTGCTCTGATTTGTATTGTGTAGCTGTTTTCCCTTTATCTTCAGGACTCCTATGTTGATCGCATTATTTTTTAAAGAAAAAAATACTTTAGGTGAAACTGGCTCACAAGTCTACGCTGGTTGGTAGACAAATTTTTATAATTTTTTAAGAGATCTAAAACCACTTATACTTTTTTTTCTAAAAGCCATAAAGTAGTACACTTAATCTTCCTAACCTGTATTCTTGGAATCATAGTGACCCAAATTCTTTCTTTTTTTTTTACATGTTCATACTAATATATTACCTACACGTCAACATATTGACGAGTGACGACCAATGTACTTGAAATTATGAGTCCAAAAAAGTCAGCTCCTAGATATTGGTTTTGTATGGTAGTGATATGATGGCATCAGCAGTGAAAATCTTTCTACTGCAGTGAAAATCTTTCTACTAAAAAGATTTTCATTAAAAATATTATTTCAGTAAGGGAGTTTTCCAAAAGTTTGAGAGATGAAAGATTATAGTTGAGAAACACTTATGCATGATGATATGATATTTGTAAACTTATAGACAAGTCATTGACTTTTAAACCAAAAATAAAGAAAAATATTGTACTGTAGCGTATACCTCATGAGGAGATGTTCCCAACCGGAATAACCGACGTCCCAGAGATTTTTCTCGGTAGTACTTCTCCGGGACTCGTTTCGGCCAGTCAGCAGGATGATAGTGAAATTAAGTGTCTTGAGACCCTTATACAGTTTCAAGCTTGCATCGAAAGCTTGTGCTTGTACCTTTTTTGAGACATAAGTCGCAGACCTAAATTCACCAGAACCAAATCAGTGATCGGTTTGGTAGAAAATAAAGTACAACTAAAATAGCAAATAAATCTTAAACCAGGGAACCTAACCTGCTTACACATATCTACTGGTTTGGTCAAAGAAGTTAATCAAATAGTCATCATATCGGTTGATATTAATAAAACACAGTATAAAGTATAAACTATATACACAAACGAAACCCACACGTTAGTAATAGAGAGAGCTTTACACATACCCATGAGCCTTATTATAGTACTCAGAGTTCGAAAGAAGCGTCTCATCAATGTCGAAGACCCATGCGTCCTTACCGTCTAAACGGTTCTTAACCTTTCCAGCGAAGGCGAGCGCGTAACGAGCGACTAAATTGTAGTCGCTATCGAACTGGCCACCGATGTAATAGGTATTAATGGAGCTAACACATTTGGATGGAGTCACGTTCCATGTTCCAGCATTGTTGGTCTCCACGGCCAGTCTCCAGCTCTCGCAATAGGAAGCAATGGAAGAGCGAGACCCAACGTTGACTGGAGGGTTGATGTAGGATGAGTCGCCAGCAGAGATGGCTGGACTGATTAAGACGGTGAGTAACGCCACGATAAAGAATGAAAGGGAGCTGCTACGATAACACGCCATTGGAGAAGTTAGGTTATTACAAGTTTTTGTGTTGTGTCGAGATAGGAGACGAAGATGGTTGGGTGGGAATTTATAGTGTCGAATAAACCACGTGACCTTTTTTAAGGACGTCGTATGATAATCTCTTGGTTAAGTAAACGTTTCCAAAAAATTATCAACTAAGCTACAATGAAAACTATATTCGTTAACTATAATTTATAATATTCCACTCGTTTTACATCTCTAGTTTTTTTATTATTCTTTTATTTGAAAACGTTTTATTATTACCAATTACTAAACTTTGAATTATAATAATCAGGCATACGAGTTTGACATTTTGTTAAATACGAGTTTGACTTAAAACTTCCAATCCACACCGAATATTTTGATACTTGGATCTGGATGATAAAAACGAATCTATTAGGGAACTCTTAAATCTGTATTAATAGTTTCATGTATTGATTATGAAACCTTTTCTTTACGATTACTCCAACGTTTTATAATAAACGTGTTTAAAGTTTCTGCATACATACTAAAATTGTTAAATTCTATATATAGTATTAATTAATAAATGATTTTGTTGATTTATAATTAATGAGCTAAAAAGCAAAAAAAAAGTTTATATAATATGTGTATTAAAAATGTAAAATAACACTTATATTAAAATATATTTTAAATGTAAAAACACTTAATAGTTAATATAAATGATGAATTGGTGAAATGGTTTCAGCAAGAAGGACTTGTTTTGCAAATTACAAGGAAGACATCAAACTTCTCACGATAAGTTTCAATCACTTAGAGATCATTTATATATTCCAAACACAAAATTTAAAGGCGGACAATCCACCATGCAATGTCAGGAAGCTATTGTCTTTCTTTCGTCGTTCATACGGATGAAGAGTTTCCAGCTTGGTTCACACAGTCTTGATTGAATCCGTATGTTGATGACAAAAAAAATAATATAAATGACGGAGAGTATTATTGATTAGGGAACTAATATGTGTTTAATTACAGCAATATACTCCTTCCGTTTCATATTAAGTGTTGTTATAGAGAAAATTTTTGTTACAAAATAAGTGTCATTTTCAACTTTTGAATGTGCAAATTATTAATTTTATACTGCAATTTATTTTTCTATTGGTTGAAATATGGTTAAGTGTATAGATAATTGTGTTTTTATATAGAAAATATGCTAAATTAATTATTTTTATAATCCGTGTGTACAAATCTACAATAACACTTAATATGAAACATAAAAAGTTATTATTTAACAGTTATATATGTGAACATTTATAAATACAAAACAATGCAAACTAGGGATATTTGTATTCTTAACACAAACCCCTCAGCTACATATATCAAGCTCCAGTGATATTTTGTGGTGGGTCTCAAGTTTTTGATGATTTCATATGGGCTTAGGAGATGTTTGTTTCCCCATCCAGCTAAACCATTTGGATGGAATGAGAATTTTGTTTGTTTAGGCATTAAAAGTACAAATCATCTGGACGGTTCATCTGAATTAACTTTAGACATAATTTTAGACATAATTTGTAAAATCATCTGGCTGGTTCAAATTGGACCATCGGATGGAAATGAATATCTCAAAATCGAATAAAGTCTATTATATCCTAAATAATTCACAAATTACAAGCTTAAGATTAATATCTTTTTTGTCACTCAGAATAAATGAAAAGAAAACCACAAAAACGTATTTTCCATCAAAACTAAAACACATGTTTTCCAGCTAAAACAGAAAAACACGTTTTTCCTCCCAAAACCGAAAACGTGTTCTTCCATCAAAACCAAAAAACACTTTTGCCCGCCAAAACCAAAAACGTATTTTTTCGCAAAAACCAAAAAACACATTTTCTCATCAAAACAAAAACATGTTTTCCTGTCAAAATCGAAAAACACATTTTCCTACCAAAACTAAAAATGTGTTTTTTCGTCAAAACCGAAAAACATGTTTTCCCACCAACACAGAAAAAAAAATTTTCCCGCAAAAAATCAAAAAACACGTTTTTCCACCAAAACTGAAAAATGTGTTTTCCCGCCAAAACCGAAAATATATATTTTTCATCAAATCTCAAAACACGTTTTTCTGCCAAGACCAAAATACACGTTTTCCCGTTAAAACATGGTTTTCCGCCAAAACCGTAAAACATGTTTCCCGCCAAAACGTGTTTTCTCGCAAAACACATTTTATCGCTAAAACGTAAAAACACATTTCCACCAAAACTGCAAAACTGTGTTTTTCGGCCAAAACCGCAAAAAAAAAAACCAAAAAAGTGTTTTACCTGCGAACCCGCAAAATGCATTTTTCCGCCAAAATCCCAAAAACACTTTTCCCATTAAAATCGTAAACGCCAAAATGTCAAAATGCTAATTTTAAAATAATTTAATTGTATTTATATTTTAGACTAATTAATAAAAGTTAGTATAGTAAAAATTAATATCAAACATATGATTAAATCAAAATAAGAGTATATCTGTAATTTGTTTATTACACTCATATGGATGGAAATAGAATAAAAGAAACAAACATAAAATTTATTCAGATGGTTCATCTAGATGGAGAAACAAAGAGTCCAAAATATGGATAGATCATCTAGATGATATAGATGGAGCAGCTGGATAGAGATGACAGATGGAGAAACTAACACCCCCTTAATGTAACATGGATCTTAATCTCTTAGGCTTGTGATTTCAGAGTCGTTCAAAAAAAAAAAAAGGCTTGTGATTTCAGTATATTTTTTCCCATTCCAGGGTCTCTGCTAAAAAGTGAGTCTGTATTCCAATTGCAATATCAAAGTTTCCACATTTGTTTTAGTATGTAACGTTTTCTATACATCATAAGAGATTTGCTTAAGAAAAGAGAGGAAAAGCTCGTTTTTATGCACATAGATCACGGACATATTCAAATGAATCATTAGCCTTGGACTCTCAAAATTTAAAATATAAGAATATGTTTCTAATCTGTTAGAAAACAAATTTGCAATTTTTTTTACTAAATTGCTTAAGACCTTTTAAAATTTCGAGTCGACTATTATGTCGAGCAGCAACTAGCTTTCTTGACGGCTGAAACATCATCTCTGCTTCCAACATTAATTACTTGTCCTTTAGGCAAAGCAGTGCTTGGATCAGCTCCACCATCAAGAGCATTCTTGCTAACGACTCTGTAAATCTGAGTGAGAACCTCTGTGAAAGCGTTTTCGACGTTTAAAGCCTCGAGTGCTGAGGTCTCTATGAAGAAAGTGTTTTCTCTCTCTGCAAAAGCTTTCACTTCTTCCGTTGGGATGGCTCGAAGGTGACGCAGATCAGCTTTGTTACCTACGAGCATAATTACTGTGTTTGCGTCCGTGTGGTTCCTTAGCTCCTTTAGCCATCTCTCAACGTTCTCGAATGTCACGTGCCGTGTAACGTCGTAGACCAATAACGCACCAACGGCTCCTCGGTAATAAGCGCTCGTGATGGCTCGATACCTAATTGCAAGTACTAGCTATATAAATGAATCACATACGCAAAATGTTGGCGGGAAGATGGTTTCTCTGTTTTGATGCAACTATACTTAAGGAAAAAAAATAGACAAAAGAAACTGAAACCATATAAAATGCCATTTTGTAGCGTGGGTTGATGTAATAGTTGATTTAGATAAGGTAATATTTATGTAATATTATGAGACGGCCTTTTCTTAACTTTATAAAATTGAGATGAATTTTTTTTCTGTTCAGTTACACTCAATTTTTTGAAAATCGGACCGGACCGTGGCCAGATATTATAATTAAATAAATGGACAAACCAGTTCAACTGGGTTTTAACTTTTAATTAAACAAAAATATATAAAACTATGTATATAATTTACTCATCAATGTTATAATCATAAAAATATTATAATATATATAGTATAAAATAATTTAATTAGATAATACTAAAATATGTATTTTCAAAATAAGTTGTTTAATTTTTAATTAATTAATTTTATTTAATTATAACTGAAATATAAAAGGCGGGTTTTGGTATTGAACCAGTTACTTATTTCTGCATTTTAACACAAATCGGAATAGGATAGATCTACCTCACGATTCGACCAACCGGTCTGGTTTTAGAAAATAACCACTGACTAGATTTAAACAATCTGGTTTTATTTAGTTGAAACATTTGGAGTTAAATTTGGTGTGATTTACATGTAACATGTCCACCTATAGTAGATAGATTACCTTTCTTGGCCGGCAGTATCCCATATTTGAGCTTTGATAATCTTGTCGTCGACTTTAATGCTTCGTGTGGCGAATTCAACCCCGATGGTCGAGCGTGAGTCGTGGCTGAAGTCGTTTTTGGTGAATCGGGAGAGCAGATTTGATTTTCCAACACCGGAATCTCCTGTTAAGACAACTTTGAACAAGTAATCATAATCGTCGTCAGATTTATATGCTGCCATATCTGATCGATAACCTTTTCGTTAATATGACAAACGTATCCAACATAGATTTTTTTGGCTATTCCAAGAACTTAGGATGACAAATAAAATTGAAGTCTTCAAATAGTATTCTTTTCGGGTTTTGTTTATTTTTATTTTATTTATATGTTATATATTTAAGGTTTCCTAAATTGGAGAAGAAACCAATGCTTACGAATGTTGAATTTGAGATGAGACCAAGTGGAGTCAGAGAATCAAGGACTCTCCTCTATTTTACATGTCATATCAATTTTGGGATAGTCTAAATATATATATCTTCTGTGTGATGATCTTTTGCTTAGGCTTTTTAGTTTAGTTTTTTTTTCTCAAAACGAGTCCTATAAATATGGAATGAATATATTTTGCCAACGAGAATCAAAATTTTGACTGAACCAAAATAAAGTATAAATTTATTGTGTAACTGAATCCAAAACAAAATCGGGTCATGTGGAGCCTACGAGGACAAATTAAGATTGAATATAAGATAGTTTTTTTTTTTGTTTGAAAAGGGTTTGCAATGAATATAGGATGAATATAAGATAATTCATAAGAACTTAATTCAAGAACAAGAAAATAAAGATCTGAAGACTATCTAGGGGTCGACGATTTATTTCTCCGCAAGAAGTATCATATAGCACTAGTCCACCAAACTATGATCTTGTGCTCAGTGGCGTGCCTAGGGTAAATGGGGCAAATTTTAAAACAATAAATTTTTAGTTATAAAAATTGTAATTATAAAAGAAAAAAAAACAAATCTACAGATTGGAAGAATCGAACTTGAGTATTGTGTGCACATACATCCTCAAGAAACCACTACATTACAAGATATTTTAGAAATTGAGGGCCCTATAATATATATATATATATATATATATATATATATATATATATATATATATATATATTTAGAACAAGGCCTGAGGCAAATGCCTTTTCTAATACATACTAGACACGGTTCTGCTTGTGCTAAATCTTCACGAAACTTTTTTTTTTTGCAACTTATTTCACCCCGAATTAAAACTTCACAACTTCAAAACAAACAAAATTAAATATCTTGGTTATTGTTTTCAAACCAAAGATAAACCAACTAAACCTAATCTAAACCAAAAAAATCCTAACCTAACTAGACCCAAATTAAAAATTGACCCAACCCCATATTTTCTTCTTCACCCAATTTATTTCTACAGATAATTTATTCTTCAACATATTTACAACAGCAACATAAGATAAAATAAAACAGAAGTTGAATCTAAGTCATCTAATCAACAATGACATGATATTGATGAAACAAAGGAGAAGTGATAAGTAGGCCTTCAACGATTCAACTCCACCACAGGCAGCTCTGGAGAAGGAAGACAAACCAGCCTTGTGCAATACAAACCACCAACCCGAAATTCCGATAAGCCAAAATCAGCAAAATCAGTCAACTGCAACATCACTAAACTCTCTTAGCCACCACATTAATGTCCAATCACCAGCACTTCCTCCACCAAAATGTATGTTATTCAACCCATCCACACACACTCATCCCTCTTTATTATCACAAACTCAGATTCTTCTCTCTTTTGAAAGATTATTATACAACTCAACATAAATTAATGAATACATTAGTTTCAAATTTCAATGACTTGAAAAAATAAATTAAATACGACAGATATTTTACATGGGGAAGAAGAAGAAAAGAAACGTGGAGTTTTTTATTGTAGAAGAATAAAAAATTGGTTTGATTTAATTGTAATGCGGTTTAATATCAAATTTAAATATTTAATGGTTAACTGATAAATAGTAAACCGAATATAATCGTTTTATGTGTTTTGAGATTTAGAATTATGAGTTTGTGTGTTTTGTAGTTGTCAAGTTTTAATTCGGGGAGAGATAAGTTACAAAAAAAAGTCCCGGCGAGATTTAGCACAGGGACATAGTTTGGTGGACATTTAGTACTATATGATACTTCTCATAGGAAAATAGATCGTCAACCCCTATCTAGAAGATCACCAAATTATAGTTATTTGATTGATATCATGACAAGATTATTATTTTTTTGAACAAACTAAACTTGCATTTCTCAAAGGAATCTACACTCCGCAAGTGGAGTTCATTACATATACAGCTAGAACTGATTTTGCCACAGCATCAGTTTCAGCATTGAAATTTCGAGAAATAAAATCAAAAGAAATTACATCCAACAAAGGGATAAAATGATAGATATCAAACATGATATCAAATAGTTTAGATTGGTACCCTCTCTTCTTCAATAACTTAATAAGGGATAAGGAATCAGATAGAACCACCAGGAATCAGACGTTTGAATAAGAGACACCGCTCGATGAACAGCTAAGGCTTTTGCCATTAAATCTGATGACACATGATTATGAATTTCCGAAACGTTGGGGAGAGATATGGTATTTTCACCGAAAAAGATTCCACCTATTCACACCTTCCAAAGTTAACATCCCAAGCCGCATACACACTAAGGAACCAGGCTGGATCGTCGGAGGTGGACAGAGAGCACGGTGGTGAGGTACATTTGGGACTTTAAGAAGGGAAGGGGTTCTACTTTCTGTTTGGGCATTACTCCATTCTTTTGCATCCTTAATACTCTTGAGAATAAACTCTTGGGCAGTAAAACCTCTATTTTCAAACACAAACTTATTTCTAGACTTCCATAAGTTCCATACAATCCAAGGCCACAAAGGAGTATTCAGACCAACTGGTGATCGAGGAACATAGTCATTTTTCTATTTAAACATTTCCGCGACAGAAGAAACAAAGTTGAGTGGTCTTACAGTGATCGGCGAGTTGCTCCATACTTCTTCTGCTAGTGGGCATTTTAGCAAAACGTGCAAATCACCCTCATGCGCCCCACACTTTTTACAGTTAAAGCTCGGTACTCCTCTTCTTTCAAGATTAGAGCTTACGTATATAGCTTTTTCATCACTCTCCATAGAAAATCCTTAATCTTGGAGCCTGTTTTTACATTCAAAACATGTTTCAACCAGTTCACTGAATATTTGCTTCGGTCATCGGTTTGTCAGCCGTAATCCCTAGGCCATATCCGTTTTTGTGAAGTATTCCCCTGATTTCTTCGGAAGCCAAATCAATGTATCTAGAGATGGTATAGAGCTCGTTTTATTCTGAAAATAATGTCTTCATACTGAGGCACTCAGTATAATTCTGCAAAACTAATAGTAAAAGAAAATGTCCAATTATTCTCTTGAATCCCAATAATAGAATACAATGTCTAATAGTAAAAATAATCAAATAACTATATTTATTCTTATAATATATTATTTTGCTTAGGAAGAAGAATCGTCCATTTATTCTCGTGTTCATTCTTAAGACTTTCATGCTTGAGTATACTATTTCCTCTAAAAAGCTTAAATGGCATCAGGGTAGATACTATAATTAAAAACAGCAATTGAAATGAACTCAGATTTTTTTTAATTTTAACGTAGTTTAAGATAATATTGTAAAGACTTAAGTTAAGAGTCTGCAAGTTAATTCTCAAATTGATAAACTTCCTAGCTAAAAAATGATAATTTCTTAAACAAAAAAAAACTCTCACCTCTAACTAACGAGGTTGTAGATTCATAAACCGTTGTCGAGTTATCAATATAACACATTGGCAATAGAAAAGAAAAATTGAGAGAGAATGAACAGTGCGAATAATAAAATTAATTTTAAATCCAAAATTAACTAAAAATAAAACCTCAGGTCCTCAACATTGTCGATAACAAAAAAAAATAACAATACCAATAAAGAAATTTTAACAAATATTAATACCATGTATAAAGTTTATCATATTTTATATAACTTAGTTATAATATATTTTAATATATTTATTTTTATTTTAAAATACAAACATATATTTTAAAGAAATTTTAACAAATATTTTAAAAATCATATTTTAAAACCTTTTTAAATTTTATTTCCCAAATTAGTTAATTTCAATTTTGCTATCATAAAATATAATTGGAGATTAAATTTTAGTTTCGTTTTGATTTATAAAAGATCAAGAAAATTATATAAATATTTAATTATATTTTAATGATAATAAAATTTTAAATTGATTAATTCGCAAAAATGCATTTTACAAAGATTTTGTTAGAAAGAATATTCATTTCATGACTTATTTTATGTGTGCTTTAATTTGGGCTTTTTGCAAAATTGACTCAAAACTCATAGTTAAACACAAAACTAACTTCTTCTTTTAACTCATCTTGTTTTTGTTCTATTCACCCCACATCTTCATTTTATTTACGAAAATGGCATTAATTTTTTTTTTTACTTTTTTTTTCGAAAATGGCCTTTTTACTCTCTCAACCTCATCATCTTCAACTATTTACAACATTACCATTGCCATGAATACTCCCAACAACCTTGTACAACCCAACAACCTTGTACAACCAAGGTTTGAAGCTTTTAATGCACTTAAAATCGATACTCATACTCTCTTTCTCAATTGTTATGAACTAAAAACAACATCTCATTCACTTTGTCTCCATATTCATACCAAAAACCCAAGATTTTGATAGCAAATTTTTTATGGTTGATAGAGCCATTTAAGCATACAATTGTTGGTGGGTTACTTTCGTTTCATGTTCTGGGTGGTTGGAGAAGACTCTGTGTGCAAAGAAAGTCATCTCACCTAGTTTAAGGTTTGAAATTGAATTTTCTTTCCAGATCTGTTCGCGTAGAAGACTTACCCGTAAGTCATCTGGATGTAGAAGACTTACGGATAAGTCTTCTGGTCAAACGGACGACTTACTTCTAAGTCGTCCAGCTTTGTTTGTTAAAAAAAAACACCAGAGGACTTATAATTAAGTCGTCTGGGTAAAACGGTCTACTTTTGCTTTTGACCAAATTGTGTCAGATAATTGACTTTTTCTGGACGACTTAAAATTAAGTCGTCCGTGGAAATTTTAAAATTTCAATATTTTATTAAATCTAGACGACTTACGGATAAGTCGTCTTACGTTAGT